GGGAGAAACACACAAAAGCAGGAAGTACATTGCAGCTGAAGCTCCCAATAAAATAAAATCATTTTTTGGGTGTACAGGAACCAGTGGTGGATTTCAGATTTTTGTGGCCATCAGTTCGCCGCGTGCATGTGTGTCCGCTTTGCACAACTACAGACCTTGATCAGACTTGGAGAGCAGCCAGGCTGATATCTTCCAAACGCCACTCTCTAGCAGACAATTAGGTTAAAGGGAATTCCTCTCCTGCAAAGTCCCGGCCAATAGTCCTTCAAAGGTGAATTTACAACCACAGACCTTATCATGCTTGGAGAGCAGCCAGGCCAATATTTTCTGAACACCACTTTGTAGCAGACAATACTTGGCAAGAAGTCAGGAACAGATCTTCATCCTAATGAATTGAGCTAATTGTCTCCTGCAAACTCCACTCCCCTTTCGCTCCTCTTTTATTCCCTATGGGAGGGGCCATTCACTGTCCATCTGTGGCTTTACTCCCAAGTCGACCCTTGTTCCTTAGCTGTTCCCTTCTCCTGAAAACTCTGCGCATGCAAACACTGGGAACAGGCTCCAGCTGTTCTTCTGCCCCACTGTTGTCTGAAGGCAGCTGATAACTGTCAGACGGCCCCATGTCTGCCTCCGACACAGAGCCCTCATCACAGCCTTCCCCAAACTCCAGGACTGGCCCATGTTCCTCCCCAACTTCCTCACTGTCTGACTCTGCCACCAGCTCCACTTAGCTACTGGCAGGCCACAACAGGACAGGAAGCAACAGATGGAAACTTATTAAGGAGAGATCTAACCTAGAACTAAGGAGAAATTTTCTGACAGTGAGGACAATAAATCAGTGGGACAGAAGTTGCCTTCAGAAATTGTGGGTGCCCCATCCCTGAAGGTTTTTTAAGAAGAGATTGGACAGCTATTTATCCGGCAAAGTATAGAGTCTCCTGCTTGAGCAGGGGTTTGGACTAGATAGAAAAGTCCAAGCAGTGGTGGGTTTCAAAAATTGTTCGAACCTACTCTGTGGGTGTGGAATCCTT